GAAAATTTTCATGGCTATACACAAATCTGTTACCAGAAAAAGATCATTTTGTTACCATTTTTTAGAAGAAAATATTATTGATTGTGTAATACTTGGTTGCTTTTCAGTTTTGACGGCTCTGTCAATGAAATCGTTGCTCCCTTTTCCCCAAATTGAAACATGTTCTTTTTCTCTCTTACTGAAGGATCAGAAAGGGAGACTATCTCCCTAGCAGGTCCTGCGCAGGGCAGCATGAGTAAGGCATTGGCCCATGCACAAAATTTGAGGTGCCAAAAACTCAATAACGAGACAAATAATACTTGAAAAAATCAAAATTGGTATAATAATCAGTAATTAACCAATTACCATGATTTTAAATTGAAATAGGATCTGACCCTGTGTCTCTTACCTTCACTCTAATCCTGCCCCTGCTTCCTATTCAGGCTTTGACAGGGGCAAGTGGAGATTGGAAGGGTTTTTTTGATAGAAAGCCTTGTTGCGATTTGCCCTTGTCCCAGCTTGAGAATTGTTGAAAGATGATATTAAAAGAACCTATATATAAGGCTCTGAATTTATTTCCAAGGTCCTTGATGTAGAAAGAAAGAATAATGTATTAAATGTTGGAGAAAAAAATTAACATTTCATGACAAATGAAACATGCTTTCCTAAAATATGGACATTTAACAGAACACAGCTGATTGGGAACATTGGCAGTTTAGTGTACCCGGTGAGTGTCACAGACTGAAGAAGACCCAAAACTGAGTGGGAAATATTGGTTTCAAAAACTTTCTAAAGGGCTTTTATTATCAGGCCAAAGGTTTTATAGTTTTGTAACTTTCTTCTTAATTTTATGGAGCCAAGATTATCAATTGGAAAGATTCATGTTGAAATGTTTGTTTTGCTAATGTGACAGGAAATAAAATAATCTGCAAAAGAGCAAAAATTAGAGGCTATTAAAAATTCCACACTGCCTTGTGAGGATACTGGGCCCTGATGAAGGTCCTAGTTTTGCGAAGTAGAGTAATGGGAATGGGAAATTGAAAGTTTACTCACTTTGCATAAGATAAGGAATAAAGGGGCAGGAAAAGAGATAAGATAAGAGCTAGAACCTGCGAGAAAGGAAGAGTGAAATGATTCTGTTTAGAGTGAAGCAAGTTCTCTAAATCTTGCTGGAACTATCACACTCCAAAGATTGTCTGGGTGGACATCCCTTGAAGCTATTTTATTTCTAATGTATTAACATTATTAATGGCCATTTACTCTGAAAGGGAAACATCTCTTTATTTTGTTTAACTGCGATTGTTTCAATAATAAGATTTGAGCAAAGGATACTATTTATCCAATTGAACACATCTGAGCAAATTAGTAAATAAAATAATTCTTCAAAAGTTAAGGACTATTTTATATTTCCATTAGATTTA